TTCACATCCAGTTATGTTAACAGCTCCACAAGTTGCAACTGATCATAACTAGCAAATAACTATCAAAGCAGCAACTTGTGTTTCATCTAGTTTGATAAGTACTGACACTTACAAGTAAACAAGCAATCTAAGCACAGATGGGCATAACTGCACGGATTGAGTAAATCAAGAAATAATACATCATGTTTTACACTTGATTAGCGGATTAAAGTACATCACCTTAACCTTACAATTCCAGGTGATCCAGTCCAGCATATGAATTCTTTAATTTCATCCTGTAAGTAATATAGCATCCACTTAAAATGATCAGTTGGATCAAACTAAATTAAAAAAAAACTTCATTTCTCCTAAAAAGGAATATCAGATCAATCCTTAGTATACTTAGTGAAAGAAATTAGTAGAAGATCTAAGCACAAAACAGAAACATGTGCTTTGGTGAATATCAGATCAATCCACATCCAGGATAGAGACTACATTATCTGAAGCTGTTGCCACCCCATTTGCTGAGGTGCATGCGAGTATATCCTGGGAGGTGGACACCTTCACCGGAGATGCGCCATCCGCTGAGAAGGTCCTCCGGCCAACCATTGTGCTCTTGGAGGACCCACAGTCAACAAGGTAGCTGTCTGCAGGCGTGAATTGCGCTTTGCAGATGCAAATGGATGACAAGATGCATAGCACGATGAAGGTTGTTACAGCTTGCCACTTCGTCCTCCCCAAAGTAGTCATCATGATGTTGACCTGAGTAAAAAGTATGTTCACAATGTTCAGATGCCATGCATGCAAAACTATAATCCCATCTCGAGAAAAAGGGAAACAAAACAATTGGTGCAAATTGTCAATGCAAAACTGTAATCCCATCTCGAGAAAAAGGGGAAACAAAACAATTGGTATGGTCTGCGAGCAACTACCGAGCAAGAACAAGAACATGCCGAGTTGCTCATCACTTGGGGTCATGGATCTTAAAAATAAATTTGGGACATTAAATTCGAGCTGAATCCCCAAAACTTCGGAAAACAAACCGCATCGACAACTTGGCTAGATCGATCTTGCCTAGCGCCCATGGCGAAAGCGAAGAAGCTAAAAGAGGTGCGGTGGAGAGATTAAGAGCTAGCAGCGCATCATCTCTCCGTGCTTCCGCACTCCATGAAAAAACAATCCAAAGGGAGATGATTTGGATCTGACTACCTTTGCCACAAAAAGAAATGCCCCAAGAACAACTCGAGCTCCTAGATCGAATCAACCGGAACAAGGAAGCTAGGTTCACTTACCACCAGCAGGGAGAAAAACGGATCTGAGTCCCAGCGCTGAGAGGATTAGGGTTCAGATGGGGAGGCATCTGAGTTGCGTCGCGTGAGAAGGGGATGGGGAGGAGGAGATACCGGATCTACCGGGTATGGTTCAAGCAATCAACGATTTACCTCGAGAGCAAAGAGAGAGATCTGCAGGGCGACAAGACTGGCGGTGGGCGGTGGGCGGTGACCAGTAGAGAGAGCGCAGCTTCGGCTCGAGATCCGGGACAGAGGGAGGAGCCGAGTAAGGAAATGGTGCAATGGGGAGGAGAAGGTGGAGAAGGGCGGAGAAAAAAGCTGGCCAGCATCCCGCCCGCCACGCCGCCTGTCCGCGTCGAGGGAGAGAGGGAGCGAAGAGGAGAGAGACTGAGAGAGAGAGGAGGAAGGTGAGAGAATTTTGTGGCCGATATATATATAGCGGCATTTGTAGGGGCGGTCGGTGATTCAGCCGCCCCTACAAATAGAAACACTGGGGGCGGCTGGTGAGTGAGCCGCCCCTACAAATCAGACCCATTTGTAGGGACGACTCGTATCACCAGCCGCCCCTGCTGTTCTATTTGTATGGGCGGCTGGTGTCTGGGCTCCCGAGCACGCCACTGTAGGGGCGGCTCCATCACCAGCCGCTCCTAAAAAAAATTCCTCCCGTTGCTAAAAATAGTTTTTTACGTAGTGACCCATCATATAAAACAAACATAGAAAGAACCTTTCACTATTTCGCTGTCGAATCCAAGTGGACCCATCCCTCTGACGTACCTCTTGAACCGTAAACGATAATAACAAAAAGTATATGAAAATGTTACATGAGAATTTGCTACCTAAAATTTCAGGAATCAATGACAAATGCCGGTTTCAATTTCATCCATGTAGAATTAGGGGGTGTTTGGTCCGAAGGGGCTCCTCCGAAGGAGCCAGAGCCGTTTTGGAGGAGCCATAATTTGTGGTTTCTCCAAGATGGCTCCGGCTCCTCTGTTTTTTAGTGAAAAATAGCTCCTCCCGCAAAAACGTTTGGTAGAGCTTATCTGGAGGAGCCGGAGCCGGAGAGGAGACTTGTCAAACAAACCCTAAGTAATCAAGTAGCCGTAAGGATGTAAGTAGACTAGCCTACAAATTTATCTATATAGACTTAATTTTGTAGGTTGTTCATAATAACCTACAAATTTAAACATATATATACAGGTTCACGAGCTAACTCGCTTGCATCTCTACACTGTAGGCTGCTGCTACACCAGGAAAAACGAGGACCTTCACACCAAGTGAATGAAGCACCTCTCAACTCAAGCGTCGACCACGCCGTCGTGTTGATTTGATCCATAAACAATGACGACAAGGCTTTTGTGAAATCTCACGTGCCTATTTGCTGCCATGATTTTCGAAAATTATTAATGTTAAGTGTTGTTTTGGATTTTTAGGGCACCTGAGATTTTTTTTAGAGGCAATTGAGATTTTCGTCATGTTCTTCAGCACTACTTCAGCAGTATTTTTCAACGAACAAACAGTGTTTTCCTCTAGCACAAGCATCAGCATAAGCCAAATTTCTGCGAAACAAACAAGGCCTTTTTTTTTTGAGAGATACTGTTTGGTTGTGTGGTTTTCACACATGCATCCTCAATGATCCTATAACCACTGTAAACTCATTTTTTAGATAATGGAAAACTTTTGGCTTTATCCTTCTTCTAAGAACAAGAAGCATCAGTCCAAACTTATTACAGTAGCACATCTATAATTAAAATTTATTACAGGTTGAGGACTATAGTTTAAGACGGTATATAAAGGACCATCCATGCGATGCGAAGAATTCCATGGCTCTCAATTCCAGTAGCTTGCAAGTATCAAGAATCCGTTCCTTGTCATCATCCGAGCGCTGCAATAGAGAGCCCAAAGTCGTAACCAGTGTGTTCCCTGAAAAGAACCTGCAAAAAAAGTTTTTGGGTGACCTTTATCAAAAACCACATTATTCGTTGTGATCCATATTGTCCAGTAAAATGCCGTAGCTCCCGTCAATAAAAGATGATTATGATTGGAACCTCCTAGCTTCGACCAACTATTGAAAAGATGGTTCGTGTTCCTTGGAGAATTAATGCCAAACAAAACAAACACAGCACACTGAAGAAAGCTGGCATAATGGCAATCAAAAAACAAGTGTTGGATAGTTTCAGGTGTGCTAAAAAACAACAAGCCTTACTACCATTTCAATTTCTTTTAGCAAGATTGTCTTTTGTCAGTATCACCCCCTTCTTTAAGAACCAAAGAAAAATCTTAATGTTCAGGGGCACTTTCCTATATCAAATTTCCTAGGTAACCTTAATCCCGTTATTGACTAGGTATTTATACATGGATTTAACAGAAAATAAGCCATTATTTAAGTTCCAGATAAAAGTATCATGATCCTCATTTAAGTTAATAAAAGCAACTCTCGCAACTAGACTTTGTCATTCCAACAGTTTATTCCCAACTAGCGCCCTTATAAAAGACACATTGAGAGGGGTGGAATTAAGAACATCAGCCATTGTTGCTTGTTTCTTGCGCACTATATTAAATAAATTCGGGTATTGGATTTTCAAGGCTTGGAAGTCCAATCATTTATCTTCCTAAAATCTAATTTGAGTTCCATTATCTAGTTTTAACTTCTCAAGACTTGAAAACATTGACTCCCAACAAACCATTCAAAAATGAGAAAACACGTTTTTCTTTTCAATTTGATTTAGAGTCTCGTTCTTTAGATACCTGTTCCATATTAACTCCTGCCAAGTGCCCTCCTCATTGCAAAGTTTGAAAAGCCATTTGCTCAAAAGACATTTATTTTGTAAATCTAGATTTTGAATTTTTAAACCACCTTGCTCTTTGGTTGGCACAAAATATTCCACTTTGCCGGTTTATATTTCTTTTTGTGCTCATCATTTTGCAAAAAAAAAACCTTGATCTAAAATATTCAATCTTTTTAGAACACCTCTCAGAACTTCTATAAACTCATAAGCACTACTGCACTATATTTTTTTTTATATATATGATAGATAAAATAGTAGCATAAAACAACCATTGAATATATATTATTTATATTATATATTATATATATAGGGAAAAAGAGGAGAAATAAGTAGGAGAAATTGAGCCGTGATAAAACTGAAAAGGACCTCTCGCCATTCTCACCCTGAGGATCCCAAACGCATGGACAGAGAGACGGACGACCACCGCCGGCGTCGACCTCACCGCGAGCGTCTCCGAGGCCGCGGTGGCCGGAGCGGGCGACGCAGGGCGCTCCACGTCGGACGGTCGACGTGGACGGTGCGCACGGATGTTCCGGATAAATCCGTCCCTAAAATGCCCCTGGAAGGCTGGACTACTGGACCCGGCGCAAAACCAGCTCGAGAAGAGAAAACAAAACAAAGCAAAGCAAAGCAACGAGAGCGGCTGGCCTCTCACGCTGTTGTTACCCGCAGTCCGCCTGCGCGATCCGGTGGGCCCGGCGCGATCCGTCGACCCCACCCTCCTCTCCCATCTCCGCACCCGGTCAGCCAGCACCAGCTCACGCTATCCAAGCCGGGAGCAGCGCCCGGTCCATGCGCCGGGTCCAGACGCATCCGGTGGAGCCACCAACCCCTCCTGCCGGAAGTCCTAGAGCCACCAGTTTATATACCCGCCCGGCGGGTACCCGCACCCCACACCACCACGCAGCAGCCCCTCTCTTCCCCCTCCCCTCGATTTGTTCCCATGGCCGCCGCCGCCGCCATTCGCAGCCCTACCCGCGCCGCCTCCTCTGCCGCAGGCCCCGCCGCGCCGACCCATCCGCGCGCGGTGCTGCGGGTGGCGTCGTCCGCCCGCCCGCGGAGGGGTGCCGTGGCCGCGGCCGCAATGCAGCCGTCGAAGGCGGTCGCCGCGGAGGCGGCGTCCCCCGCCGCCGCGGCGGTGGAGATGGGGAACGGCGCCGCGGTCGTCGCGGGGCTGCAGAGGCCCGACGCCATGGGGAGGTTCGGGAAGTTCGGCGGGAAGTACGTCCCCGAGACGCTCATGCACGCGCTCACCGAGCTCGAGAACGCCTTCCACGCGCTCGCCACCGACGACGAGTTCCAGGTAACGCTACCGCCGCCTCTCCTCTGTATCGGACTCCTACTAGTTTACTTCTATTAGCGGGGGATTTGGATGCGTAATTTTGGATGCCTAATTTCCGTATGTATGTGGTTATATAGGAGATGTCACATCTTATGGGCTGGCCTGGAAAGATTGTCTTATGGGGTTGTTTGATTTCTCGATTGATTCCGCTCTTGTGTTCCCTTTCCACGATGCAAGCCCGCCGTGTAGGCGGCTGCATATACCGTAGAGAAAAGGACTCTGCTTCACTGTTTTTGGTCCGGGACAGTGAGCTAATCTGAGAGGATTTGCATGTAGGTGGGCAGGAAAAGTGCACCTTTTCATCTGATGATTCCATCCAACAAAAAAAAAAGCATAGAATCTATCACTCTTAATAAACTATTTATATGATCAAACTGCTGTGAACCACGAGGAATATGATCATCATGCTGTGATCCCTGAATGACAAGGAATTACTGTAATTTTTAGATACTTGCAATTATGTTTGGTATTTATATAAGAGTTACATCTGACCGCCCCCTCATGCTTTCCACAGAAAGAACTTGACGGTATTCTCAAGGACTATGTTGGACGTGAGAGCCCCCTCTACTTTGCGGAGCGCCTGACGGAGCACTACAAGCACGCCGATGGCACAGGCCCGCTCATCTACCTCAAGAGGGAGGACCTTAACCACACTGGTGCCCACAAGATCAACAATGCCGTGGCGCAGGCCTTGCTCGCCAAGCGACTTGGGAAGCAGCGCATCATTGCTGAGACAGGGGCTGGTCAACACGGTGTCGCCACCGCCACAGTGTGCGCCCGTTTTGGGCTGCAGTGCATCATCTACATGGGTGCGCAAGATATGGAGAGGCAGGCGCTCAATGTTTTCCGGATGAGGCTTCTCGGTGCAGAGGTATGGTGGAAACCTCTTTCTTTTCTTATTCTGAGCTTGTACCTGCAGTTGTTTTTGGCACTAGTACTTCTCCAGAAAAAAAATTCAGTATTAGTACCTGAGTAGCATGGAATTTGTTAGATATGTGAATATTTTTCTTATCGTATCTTGCTTCCTTTTTGCTGAAACAGGTCAGGGCGGTTCATTCTGGTACAGCAACCCTGAAAGATGCAACTTCTGAGGCTATCCGTGACTGGGTCACTAATGTGGAGTCTACACACTACATTTTGGGCTCTGTCGCTGGTCCACACCCATACCCAATGATGGTGAGGGAGTTCCATAAGGTTATTGGCCAGGAGACCCGGAGGCAGGCCATGGACAAGTGGGGTGGCAAGCCAGATGTGTTGGTTGCTTGCGTTGGTGGTGGATCAAACGCTATGGGCTTATTCCATGAGTTTGTTGAGGATCAAGATGTGAGGCTGATTGGAGTAGAGGCAGCTGGTCATGGCGTAGACACTGACAAGCATGCGGCAACTTTGACAAAGGGCGAAGTTGGAGTTCTCCATGGATCTATGAGCTATTTGCTGCAGGATGATGATGGACAAGTTATTGAACCCCACTCCATCAGTGCTGGGTAGGTTTTCTTTATGTTTACATTCACAAGACTATATTGTTGTCCGCCATGTGGGCTAATTATCCATTTTTTGAATCATAGGCTGGACTACCCTGGTGTTGGACCTGAGCACAGTTTTTTGAAGGACATTGGACGTGCTGAATATGACAGTGTGACTGATCAGGAGGCCCTGGATGGTATGTTCCTCGCTCTCTTTCCATCTTCTGTTTTGGTTGAACTAATTTTTAACAAGTTGAGTTCCAATGCACCTACAAAATGCTGTTTGCATTGGTGTCAAGCTTTTAACATCTTGACATCGTTATCAATTAGTAACTTTTCTGAACACAAGGACATTCTGATTTTTTCTTGATGGAAAGGGGAAGTAATGAATGCGTGTCCAAATCCCCACTGTGTGCTTATATCAGTATCAACTGCACTGTTTGGTGATTTGTGCCTGAAATTGTTTTAAACATGTGAAAAATATGTCAAACGTGCTGGCTCAGCAGGATGTTATCTTTAAATGACTAAATGTTATATTCAGTTGATGTAGCTGTTCAGGATAGTGCAATGCCAATAACTTAGTCCTAGCCTCCTAGGTTTTTCTCAGTAGATAAGCCAAATGTTTAAGATATGCCTTATTCTTGAGCTGATGCTGACTTGTGATTTTTTAAATAACCAACCGCAATGTTGAAGTCTTGAACACTCTTATGCTCAGATGTGACACTAGATACATTGTTGACTGTTCAGCATCTATAGAATTTTTTTCCTGAACAATTGAGAAACTGCCTCAGCAGCTGATTCAGTAGTTTATTCACTCTGTTTATGTCCTGAATGCGATGTTGAACATCTAATCACATGGCTACTCTCACATGCAGCTTTCAAGCGCGTCTCTCGTCTGGAGGGCATCATCCCTGCCCTGGAGACCTCCCACGCGCTCGCCTACCTCGAGAAGCTCTGCCCGACCCTGCCAGACGGCGTGAGGGTGGTGGTGAACTGCAGTGGACGAGGAGACAAGGACGTGCACACCGCCAGCAAGTACCTGGACGTCTAAAACACCATAGAGGAGGCTGAATGAGGGGTTTTCCATGTCAAGTTTTGAAGGGTTCAGCAGTAATTTAGCGCTGTTCTTTTGGATAAAAGTACAAATAACCTGGAAGCTTGTATTGTTGTAGTAGCCGGTAGGGCCCTTTTTGTTGTTGTTGTTGTTGTTGTTGTCCTGTATCTGAATGATTTTGGAGTGCATAATGATCAATAAACAAATAAATACCAAGCTTTCTCTCGGTAAACTCTCTGCTGCTGTGCATTTGCCCGGGTCTGGACAAGTCTGGGAATCAGGAATTGGCCTGGGAATAGTTCATTTCTTGCTCCTGCATGATACTGGAAAAATTCATGCGTCACAACTCTCCCAAGGCAAGGCCTCGCTGTTTCCTGATGTTTATTGTGTGTTTGTGATTATTAACTTCTGATGGTTGAGATGTGTCTTTGTGATGCTGTCTCTGGTCGACCTGTTGCTGGGCATCTACAGCCCAAACTGGAACGAACTCCCTAGCTCAGCACGGAACCCTACAACCCCTTGCCTCTCCTCCCAGTTCTCCGGTCATAAAAGAATATTTTTTTTATTCACTTGACTTAGAACCCTACACGATATACAAATGTTTCTCTGATTCCATGTTTTCTTGATCTAGTTTCTCCCCTTGCAATGAAATAGCTCCTGTATAGAGGATAAGAGTTTTTTAGTGCCTCCCACATGCCATAATATAATCTAATTGGACTTTGTTGACGCGCCTGTGACTGACAGCAATTTGATCTCTAGACATCTTTCAGTGGCTGATCCCTCACGCTGCCTGAAAACATTTCACCATCCTCGTACGAAAACGTGATGAGTTGAGTTTGTTTTGTCGTGTCAAAAAGTCATGCTGCCCTGGAATACTTTAGCTGGGTGTCGATGTCGAACCACATGAGACCTTGTTTGGATGATCATGTATTCATCTTAATCCACATGTGTTGAAGTGAATTGGAGTGGAATTAAACTAAGTTTCATTCTATTCCACTAACATATGTGGATTGGAGTGAATACACATGCATCAAAACAAGGTCTGATGGTTGCTCTGATAGCACTTGTTTGCGGAACCGGTCTAAAAACTTGTCTAGTCCAAAAGACAAGATTACGGAGTACATCTCTTCTTCCTAGTTCCTCGAATCGAACGAAAACACGTCGAGACGACGGAATGGAACAAGTCGAGTTTTGCTGCTTCGGTGCCGTGTGCTTCTTCGTGTGCTCATTTTCCATTGTGTGCATTGTATAAGCCAGAAACTGCGAGTCCTGCGACTTCTGTCATTCCCGTTATATGGCTTCACAAACTTACCACCTCTAAAAAGTGTTGGAAAGCAGGAATTTCACAGTAATCATTTTCACAGGAAAAGCTTATGAAACAAGAAAAATTTTAGCTACAAAGAGGGCTGCCTAACATTGATTTCGCAAAAATTATCATTATTTTCATAGACATGCTGCCATTTCATCTGCTTTCTCGTTTTTTTTTTACGAATTACGCAATATAGATGAACAAACCTTCATAAATACATATGCATATTCACTTCTATGAAATACGCACGCAAATTTATCCCTTTGAGCACTTTCAAAAGGTTGTTTTTGCACAGACCTTCATAAATACATATGCATAAATTTTTCGTGTTTCTGGGTAGTTGGGCGCAGGCCTGGGGTTTTTGCGTTTTCTTTTTGCTTTTTGCTCCTTCAGGCTTGGCAGGGTTGTTTAGCTTTTAGTTACTGGTTTTAGTGGAGCTCTTTTCTGGTATGTCTTGTAAACTGGTTTCCCCAGTAACTCATATATATATGCTTTCAATACAAAGCAGGGCCAATCTGGCCTTTGGTCTAAAAAAAAACCCTTTTAGCACTTTCAAAAGGTTTAGTTGATAAATCTTGAGAATAATGAAGTTACGATAGGCGCCTCACTATCAACGGAATATCGCATACTACTGAAAAAATAGCACCGCTAAATCATGAAATAAATTCAGAAAAAACAGAAACACCCATATGTCAAAGTCAAGAACTTGAAAATTTGAGGGAACATGTTCCACCAACAATGAACCTGACCAACAGAAGTCAGCTGAGTTTGCCGTTTCCTCGTCATTTTATGGTGACTGAACTATACTCCTGCTCCTGCTTCCGATTTGGGATAGGGGGTAGGAAAACAATGTGTTTCTATGGAGGTAGGGGCAGTTTGGTCATTTTTATGCTAAGAAGGAAATGAAAAGGAAGAGAGAGAAAAGATGAAATGACAACATAATCTATCCATGACCAATTTGGCAATTTTATAAAACAGATTTTGAATGCTGCAAGTTTGTGAAGCCACACGATATGAGTGGGAAACAAACCAAATTTCTCATGTAAGCTTAAACGGGGTGTCATGCAGCAAGTAGAGAAGCATACCAATTAGTAAATAGTTAGCGAAGATGATCATGGCAAAATATGTGGTGGAAACCACCTACTACGTGAAACATAAAACTAATTCAAAAAATGTATTTGGGTCTTTTTTTTTTGAAAGTTGGCACATTCATAGTGCATACACATATGTACTTACATGCAAAAGTTAGAATTCAAACTTGCATTTGAAAATTTCATACAAAAATGATAAATTTTAGATTCATGTGCACTAAAAGACGAAACCCATGAACCCATGTTTGTCATTCTCATATGATTTTTCTAGTTTGAGTTTTCATCTCAACTTTTTCGTGTGAGAACATATTGTATGCAATATGAATATACCAAGTTTTAAAAATTTTGAATAACTGAAATACGTTTTTTGAATTGGTTTCCATGTTTCCACCGCATATTTTACCGATGATCATACATGATACATGTATCCGATGAGGGATCAAAGCATCAAAGCATATGTTAAGTTTGTCAACCTCAATATGTTCAGATCCAATCTCCCATGGCAGTCAACGTCAAGATTTGGGGTCCAGAGGTTCTGTGAGCGAGAGATGATGGCTTTACAGGAGAATTTTGTGATGGCAGACCGGCCGGCCTGGTAGCTATGACAAATATGAGGTCACGAGGATGCGGTTGGCTATGGGTGGTGTCTGGTGTGGATTGTGGAACATCCGGTTGGACGATGTTGGGGCAGGAGCGTCTCTTCAATGGGTATGGCAAAGCCAGATTCGCGTGGTGGTAGAAAGCTGGCGTTGGAGGCGATGCCACTAAAGACATGTTTTAGACTACACATTGGTAGAAGCCCAACACAGGTTGGATGGATTTGAAAAACAAAAAGATTGAGTTATAAGGAACCATTTCTAGATCAACGGCCCACAAAATCTTGGGCCTCCAAAACATTTGAGCCTGGGCTGGACGTATAAAAAAAAAGCAAATTACTTTGAAAGTACTCTTACCGTCAGAAAGAATGTGACTCTAGATTTAGAGCAAGTTAAAACTTTTTCAAATTTGATCACTTCTATAGAAAATAACATCAATATTCATGTCACCAAATAAAATTACTATAAAAATATATTCTATGATAGATCTACTGATATTTATTTAATATCATAAATGTTTAATTTTATATATTTATAAATATTTGGTCAAATTTAAAATTGGTTAACTCATTAAGAAGTGAGAATTGCATTTTTTTTTAACGGAGGGAGCAATTGAAGTGTAGTCCCTTTGTCCTAATTATAAGTCAGTTTGACTTTTTGTACATCAATTAAAAACGACTTATAATTTAGAACGAAGAGAGTAGCATCTTACTTATTTATGATTTATGTACTTGAATTACATTTAACATTCCTGTTAGAGCTTTGTTACGCAGGTAGTAGGAGGTGCGGGAGATCATGGATCCCAAGTTTCAACCAGATTCGAATCCTATTTACTTTTCTTAGTAAAAAAAAGCTAGTTCTTCCTATCACTACCGAAATGCCCAGGTTTGCCGTGTGTCCACGGCACACGGCGAAGCCTAAAAAACACTCGGCAAAGCCTTTGCCGAGTGTTACACTCGGCAAACGGTACTCGGCGTACACAGAGTCGGCAAATGTTTCTTTGCCGAGTGTTTTTTATCGGGCACTCGGCAAAGACTTTGCCGAGTGCTAAAACCGACACTCGGCAAAGACTTTTCGAAAAATATAAAAAAAACCCCGCCGCCGCCACCACTGTGCAAAAAAAAGAGGGAGAGGGAGGGAGATGGGGGGGGGGGGGAGGCCATGGCCATGGCGGTCGGCGGACACTCGACCTTGCAGCCAAAGACTTGAAAGTCAAGCCGAGCTCACATGCGGGGTGGCTTCTGCAGACGGCAATGCACGGAGGGGTTAGGGACACAGGCGGGGCGGGTCGCACAAGGCCCAGCGTGAGCAAGGCGACGAGCGGCGTTGCTCTGCAGCCTGCAGATGGCAGCGGCGTGGGCGCACCTGGTGGAGGCGTTGGCAGAGCTGGAGCGGGCGTAGGCACACACCGCTGAGCTGCAGTGGCACCTCGAACATGCCTACAGCAAGCACCGCTGCCTCGTCCAGGAAGCCCACGGCCGGATCCTCGAGATCCACGTGCGCCTCCACAAGAAACAGGATCCTCGAGAGAGGGGGAGGGGGCGGCGCGGGGAAAGGGATGAGAGGGGCGCGCTTTGGAGAGGGAGGGGAGGCGGCCCGATGGGAGAGGAGGGGCGCCATGGGAGAGATGGAGGGAGGGGAGGGGGCGGCGGCGCCAGGAAAGGGAGGGTGGGGAGGGGCGGCGGCGCCGGGAAAGGGAGGAGAGGCCCGTGGGAGGGAGGGGGCGGTGGCCGGGCGAGTTTATAAGGTTGCGAGTTTGCCGAGTGTCGGATCGGGACACTTGGCAAAGCCACATCTTTGCTGAGTGCCAGATCGGGGGCACTCGGCAAACATATTTTTTTTATTTTCATTCTTTTTCTTCTTTTATATAACATGTTTTTTTTCTAAATTTCTAAACACATTTTGTTTTTTTTCATTTTCAAACCCTAAGCTACGGTGCGTGTGTGGGGCCGGGTGAGGGGGTTTGCCGAGTGTCCTAGGTCTGGCACTCGACAAACCTTTTTTTTCATTTTCCTTCTTCTCCTTCTTTTGCAGGACGTGTTTTTCTCAATATGTTCCGATGTACTTTGAAAATACCTTGTCAAATTGACTCAAAAATATATATTTGATTTTTCTAGGAATATTATTCTATTATTTTATGCATTTACAACTCAAATTTAATTTATATCAATTAAAATTCTATAATTACACTTAATACATTAAAATTATCAAACGGATCCAAAAAAATACCAAAATTTCACATGAAACAATCTATGTTCTCTATTACCTATAAAAAAGTTTTGAAGCCAAACCTCAATTCGATCGTCACTTTGACTCCAAATCTTACCGAATCCTTATCAATGCTACGATTCTTCTTTCTGAGCTTCGGTTTGTAAATATCGTACGTGACAAATTATACGAAACCTTCTCAATTTTTTACCACAGCCTCCACGTATGCTATCATCGCATCATGACAAATCTTATGATTTTAAGACTTCGTTTGCTTTTTTTTAAATTTAAAAATCATTCGACCACACGTTCGTGGTCGTGTTTCCTGAACAAGATGTTCGAAATTTTATTTTCATTTCGCGAATAAGGCCTCACACTAGACTCAATAACATGAATATCATTTTTCTACTCATTTTATTCTAATATTTTAATCACTTGTAGTTCAAATTTGACTTATACCAAAAAAAAATTTCTTGAAATACAATAAATTAATTAAATATAGCAAACAAATCCACAAATATACCAAATTTTAACATGGAATACCACATGTTGTATGTGGAGAGAAGAAAAAAGTTTCAAGGTCAGAAGAGAAAAAAATAAAATTATTTGCCGAGTGCCATATAATTACACTCGGCAAATATATTTCTTTGTCAATGCCAGACAATTACACTCGGCAAAGATTTTGCCTAGTGCCTAGTTTTACTGAGTGTTTTTTTTCTAGTTTGCCGAGTGTTGAACTTTACCGAGTGTTTTTTTTCAGCACTCGACAAAGAGCTTGTTTGCCGAGTATTCGATGGAATGCACTCGGCAAATCCTCTGCACTCGGCTTAGCTACCGATTCTGGTAGTGTATGTTTGAACGAATCAATTCACTGGAACAAGCACTTTTGGGACTTTGAGTTTTCTTCCCCGAACAGATGGACAGTGTCCAGACACCACCGACCAGCGACATGAGGCCAAGAGCAACAATTTCACACAAAATCTCAGCATGAAGTATTTGTTCCAGTGAAGTGATTTTTTTTTTGCATGGACCATGCTCACAATGTTTGGACATAGGAGCTCATCTGTCTTGTTCCTAAACTGAAAGGCAGACCTCTTAGCACAATAATTTACTAAAACATGTTGAACGGAATAAAACAGATGGAATGAATATTTTATGGGAAAAATTCCAATTAACCGGTTTTAGACTTTTGCAATCTCCATAGACAACCTCGCTCCATGCACGGAGAGAAGAAAGAAAACATACCAGGTAGATAGGTACAGACGACACATTACAAGTACAAGCTATATATGCATATATATGCATGGTCTAGCTTCTAGCTGATGGATGAGCTAGCTTCTACTACAATGCAACCCTTGGACTGAAGAGAGAGTGGCAGGTCGACGGGAGGACAGAGGAAGAGAGTCAATGCCCGAACCAACCCCCTTGCAAGGTGTTGCTCCCCTCGCTACTACTTGTGAATCGATCAGAGAGCAACACTTTGCAAGGAGAGTACGCGGTGCGTTCTTGACTCCCCGCATTGCCAAATCCTCCCAACTTTCAATTCGATTTGATGCGACCCGCTCTTCATCCCTCCACAAATTCAGTCTCCTGCACGCATGCACAGCAAAAAAAAAAAAAAAGATGAAATGTTTTGAATTGATGCATGTTCAATCATTCATGCGAGCAACAAGAATCGGTGCTAACCACTGGGGATGCTCACTGGGGGACGGCGCCCCCGCCGGCGGCGTTGTCGGCTGCGACAGCAGCCTTGATGCGCTCGACGGTGCAGGCGATGAGGCTGTTGACAGTGGCGACGGAGCCCAAGGACAGCTTGGCGGTGGGCACTGAGTCGACCAGGATCTGGAATGCCACGGTGAGGAGCGACCCGCCACCGCCACCACCTGCACTACCAGGCCCGTTGGGGAGGACAGAAAACCCTGGTGGCGCACCACATGCACCAGGCCCGTCAGGGAGGATGGCGAACCCTGATGGCAGAAGCGCCACGTAGTCCGGGTCACCGCCGTTGAGCACAACGTTCATGGCCACCACGTCCACCGGCGCGTAGATCACGTACGACCCCGTTGCATCTGTGCAGCACTCCTGCAGGATTAGCATGTTGCTCTGGTTCGAGTTGGCGTTCTGCACCAAGATTGACATGGCCATGGCATCAATGCATCATCAGTTCAAATGAATCAGGCAAAAGAAGAAACAAGCGCTGTAGGTGAGATCGACTTACGTTGACACGGAGGAGCGAGACCGCGTTGCCGTGGTCACGGCCGTTGGCAATATGAGCCATCTCCTGCACGTCTCCGCCGTTGGAGAGAATGTCCCACTCGCTGCGGGTGGCGTCGTCCCGGAGGAAGCCGAAGACACGCGCCGGTGGCACAGGAAGCCAGAAGGAGGTGGCAGCATTCAGGATGATGCCGGGCGGGCGGCCGGGGTCGTCCACGCTCTTGCGCGTCATCACGCGCACATCCTCTGCGCCGCTGCCTGACAGCTTAGTCCACTGGTGCGTCGTCGATGCAGTCACACCACCGCAGAAGCTTGCGACCATCCGCTCTGCCAGCCGGAGCATGCTCCGGCGTCCCTCCGCTGATGTCACCACACCTATAGCATCTCCGCCACTGGAAGGCCCTGCCGGGACGCCACTAGCCATGGCACTGGCAAGGCGCTCACATTGCCGCTCCAGGGCCGCTGCCCACCGCTGTGCGCCGAATGCCAGCCCAGAGCATACCAGGGGACGGTACAGGTCGTGCACCATCACGTCGTCCGCCTCCACGTGCTCCACCCACGTCACCCTGGAGTAGCCGTTTGGCATCTCCTGGATCAGGCAGCCTGAGGGGCGGCGTCGACCACGCGCACCCGCCTGTCCGCTGGCACGCAGGCCCTCAATGGACACATCCACCACCGCCCAGCTGCCATTTGTGTGCTGCTTGCAGTAGCGCAAGAACTGGCTTTCACGTGTTGGCACCAGCGGTGACGGCATCTGGAACTCAGCCGTCATCTGCATCCAATAGTCACAGCGCATGCATTAGTAACAACAAATTAATATTTGACCAAATCAAAAGATGAAACGAACAGAACTTCAATGAGATCAGACCAGCTGCAGCGCGCCATTGTAGTTGCCGGCAATGCCGGTGGAGAGCACCTCGAGGGTTGCAGCCCGTGACACAATGCTTGAGAACAGCGTCGACCACTGGTTCTGCACCAAAATGGAAATGGGTCATACACTCATGCATAGGTGGATGGATATAGCAGTCTCAGATAATGCACAGTGAAGTATCAGAGCGTGTGGATTAACACAATAGTTACTGAATTAGTTGGTTACCACATCCATGAGTATCTCGATGAGGTTGACGTGGTTCATGATGACCACGACGGTCTCCCGCGATGCTTCTGATCGGAGCCCCGGCAACTTCGGACCAACGCCCCTGGGGAACCCGCGGGCATACTCTTCCTCATTGAGAGTCTCAATGGTAGCACTGTCTATGACAAGGGCAGGGGTCCAGAGCGGCTCACCGAGCTGGGCCATCCGCACCAGCTCCTCCATCGCGGCCACGGCGAGCTCAACCACCAACCCTTTGTCTAACCCAGCAGCGGCACCATGAAGATGAAGGTCACCAAATATGTCTGTTCCGCCGGGCAGGAGGTGGTGGGAGGAAAGTGGTGGCGGTGGTGGGTATGGCGCCATTGAGGCCGAGGAGATATTTGACAAGTTGGGCAGCAGGCTACCTGCAGGCTTGCCAACGTACTTGGCAGCGATGGTGGAGATGCGGTCGACCTCGTCGCGGAGGCGTGCGTTCTCAATGCGTAGATGGTGCTCATCGAAGGACATCTCACCAATGACGGCTGTGGCTGGGCCACCGCAGTTTGGGCACGAGGCATTGGCGAGCGCGTCTTTGTATCTCGCGTTCTCAGCACGCAGCTTCTCGTTCTCTGCACGCAGCTGCATGTTCTCATGCCGCTCCTGCTGCGTCTGCATCCATCCATGATACTCCATTAGCACATATAGCAACACAGCATACCGTGAATGCAAGCAGGTGATGATATTTGGTGACGATGTCAGTACCTTCATCTGGGTACGCTTGTTCTGGAACCAAAATTTGACCTGGAGAGGCTCCAGTCCCAGCTCCCGGCTCAACTCCTTTCTCTGCTTGTCGTCAGGGTGCGGGTACTCCTTGAAGAACCTGCATATCATCCATTCATTTGCCACAACCATGTCAAATAATATACTAAAGAGAAAACCACACCGATCACTAGACACTGGATTGGACTTACGCTTCAAGCTCCTGGATCTGGTGCTGGGTATGTCGGTGGTAGCGCTTCTTGCGGGCTGGCTGCAGGCTGAGATCCTCCTGCAGCTCCTCACCACCGGAGCCTGACCCGGCACCTCCCACCATGTTGTCGCTGCCAGACTTGCTCTCCATCAGCAGCTCGTCGTGGCGTGGGCCGCGTGCATCGCTCTCACTCGTGGCTGCTTGCGGCGGGTGCTGCTGCTGCTGCTGCTGGCCGTGGTTCTGATGCTGCTGTTGCTGCATCATAGCGAGCTGATGGTGCCCATCCATCATGTTCTGCATGACAGATTGAAATGTCAGTTGTAGTTGTAGAGTATCATCTCAAACATATATGATTGATCTGAGATTACTGAGAACCAATAAGAAAAATGAAGAATTAACATTTGCGCATGGTTCTATTGGTTTCCTCTTACATCGACGATCTTCTTCAACTGTGAGCAATTTATTTTACATAAACAGATCAAAATTCATGAACTTATATTATGCTCAGGCAAAGTAAACAAGTACTGCAGTACATTTGCAATATTAAGGACTCTTGTACTGTTACCTTAGGTAGAAATAAAAACCGAGTGCATTTACTTGTTGCTGTAAACCAACTGTGTAAAGGTCTTCTAAGGTTTTAAGACACCAGCATCTGTACTGACTTGTAAGACTGTAGGAAGTTTCGGTACACTATGGTGGAGCAATAAAGTCGAGCAAGTACCGATTAAGTTCGTTGGCGAAAAGGATTGGAGAGCTTAAACCAAATCAGGAGAAGAACACAGCACACTTGCTTTCTTGAGAAATAAAGGATATATGACCGGGCTTCTTGAAAAGTCTACACATATACAGCTAGTGCAGTGCAGCAGCAGATAATATATATGTAGATATATATATGCAGCAGAAAGTGCTTAATGCCTTCATTCACCACACCAACCATACTTTAATCAACTCTCAGTCTCAGTCTCAGTCTCAGGTGAGTGATGACTGTAGGTCTTTTGTGAGTTGTGACTAGTAGTGAGAGCATGCAATGCAGCAGGTTTTAATCCTGAAGATACGAGTCCCCTTTTGGCATTTATTTATATCCTACTTAAATGCCTTCTTTTCCGGAAATAAATTGATGGTGGTATCGTATAGTTTGATGATGGAATTTATTTTCTTTGAAGGATGACAACATATATATGACGACTACCACTACTATTAGCATTTACAACTCATCAGTGTAGTCGTACTAGTAGAAGAAATGAAATGGTAGGTTTTAAGAGATTTGTAACATTGAAAAGCACAGATTCATGGAAAAGGAAACCCGGCCACGACTCATTAACAATGCACAGACAAGACGAAGCGTGAAAAAAACAGTCCTGGCGAAATCAAGCAGACAAGAACAAATACAGGCAGCTAGCTAATCACTGAATCTGTTCGTAATTCATATATGCACGGCGCCGAATTGAAGATGAAGTAAAGACAAGCAAAAAGTGCAGAGAGAAAGGGAGGTTGGGACGATGGTGAGAAGAAGTGATGAGCGAGGGATGTTACAATACCTGGCCGAGGGAGGCGGCGTAGCTGGCGAGGCCGCCGATCATGGCCGCCGCCGTTGGCATGTTCCGGCCGGGGATCATCAGGCCCCCGGGCATAGCTGGGGAGGAGCTAATATCCTCCCTGGCCTTCCACAAAACCCTAGAGCCTCACCATGCACGCTCCTTCCTCCCCGAGCATAGATCTAAGCCTCTGCAAGAGCAAGCAAGCGACCGGCCGGCCGGCCTGGAGCTACCTCCGATCCGATCTTCGTATACACGCTCGCGCGAGCGGACCGGTAAAACAGCTCTGTGGGGTTGGGATGAAGTCCAGTGATCATGAGACGATCGAGTACGACGTCGGAGCAGCTAGTAGCTGGCTGGCGTGTAGATGTGGAGGAGAACTGGAGAAGGGAGGGAGGGAGAAAGGGACGGCGGCGGCGGTGGAGACGGTGGATTGGAGGAGGAAGACGGGAGGGGAGGGGAGGGGGAGGGGTGGAGGGTGCGCGTATTGAATGCCGGAGTTATTGTGGAGAGTAGCGAGAGGGTGCAATGGCATTCAATGTCGCCGTGGAGTTATTGCATGACACACAGCACACAGCGGCACACCCAGTCTCTCTCTTTCAACTCACAGCTTGAGAGAGAAAATGTGGACATGGAGAGAGAGAGAGAGCCGGAGAATGGATGGGTACGCCGTACACGTATCGGAGTGGTATACGTAGTGAGCTTCCATACCACGCTACAGGACACGGGTTCTTTGCCGAGTGCCCTAAACACGGGTGTGCCGCTAGAACAAAACAGTGGTATACGTAGTGAGCAGCCATACCATGCTACCTAATTTTGCACTCGGCAAAGAGTTTGTCGAGTGTTACACTCGACAAAGACCCGTTGGCATAGCTTTTATCGGCAAATGGTTCTTTGCCGAGTGCAATATATCGGGCATGTCAACACTCGGCACTGAAAAGTCACCGTCAACGGAAATGCTCGTCTGACGGCGCCTTTGCCGAGTGGTGACGTGGCCGGCACTCGGCAAAGTTTTCCTATATTTTTTTTAAAAAAATCTTCGCCGAGTGGTGACATGGCCGGTACTCGGCAAAAAAAATTTAATTTTTTTTTTCAAAAAATCTTTGCCGAGTGCCATGGTTCTGGCACTCGGCAAAGTGCCCAGTTTCGCCAAGTGCCATGACCATAGCACTCGGCAAATCTGGGACCTGAGCCAGTTTTGCCCAGTTTTTGTCGAGTGCTATGGTTGTGGCACTCGGCAAAGACTCCTTTGCCGAGTGCAACACTCGGCAAATCTGCAGAAAATTCAATTTTTTTATTTTTGCTTTCCATCACATATATTCTCACATTATTGTCACAGACAAGCAATTCACATATATTCTCACAATATATATCACACATGCATCACAATATATACCACACATGCCTCCATCACATACACATCCATGACAATATGTATCACATCCATCACAATAACCATCACAATACATATATGTCACAAGTATTTGATCCAACACAAGTCTAAGTGCAACATAAGTCCATGAAACATGAAAAGAGACAAATCAAAGGCACCTACTACCACCCTGGCCACCCGGGCTGTGAAGAAGGGCCACCTGGGCACCCGAGCTGTGGAGGAGGGCCAACTGGCCACCCGGACTGTGGAGAAGGGCCAGCTTCACTTGGATGCGTCGAGTGGTGCCCTTGAGGAGTCGGGTTCAAACCCGTGGACGGTGGCTGTGCAAAGGAAAAGCGAATTCATGAGTTTCTGCAGGAGGGTCGCACAAGCTAAAGCAATAAACAACCATACTCATCGGACTAGGTTCAGGAGTACGAAGCACTGGAGCAAGGAGCAAAGGTGGCACGGCTATACCCGTCGTGGCCGGAAGGTTCGCCATGAACGCATAAAGGTCCTGCAGCCTCTTCTCCTCGGCATGCCTCCTTAGCTCTTGCTCCGCCTGCGTGGCCTCTAGCCTCTGCACCTGGGCCTGCAATATTTCACTCGCAATGTTTCAACAATGCAAAGGCAAGATTTATGTAAAAGCAATGAACAACGAATAAAACAGGACTAACCTGGAGTTCCGCCATCTGCTGCTGTGAACTCTGTTGCCGAGGTCGTATAGGGAGGGAGGAGCTCGTGCTCGTTGCTCGAATATGGGAGAGGGTGTGAGTAGAGGCCGTGTCAACTTGGCTGTCCGCCATGCAGTACCGGCCGTGCTGCTTCCCTCCTCCAAGCCTCATCACGAGGTTCGCATCTAGGGGCTGGCCGATCGGATCGAAGTCCTCCCCATGGCGCCTGCGAGCCGCCGAGGAGTACTCGCTAAGCTTGCTGTGGACGCTCGTGTTGGTGTACGCCTCGGGCGGGTCCTCCGGGTTGTAGGTGAGGTCCGGGGCTGTCGCCTTGCCCTTGTGTGCCAGGGCGTACGCCATGAACTCGTTGCACTCCTGGCCACCATGCGACTAGGACTGCGAGGAAAACACCAAGATGATTACAAGTAATGAGAATTGAGCATTCGAATGAATAAAGAAATAAATATAAAGAGTGTTACCCATGTCTGGGTGTACGCGCCGAGGTGGCGGTTGCCTTGGTGGTGTGGCACACCACCCATCTACAGGAGGCAGTCCCGACGGATGTTGTGCTTTTCCATCCACTCATTCGAGCACCACCTGTCCACAATGGCCACCCAGCAGGCTCGGTCCTTGGCGCACCAATCAGGACACATCTGTAGACCATCAAGTATATAACATGCCAAAAGATGAAATGAAGCCTACCTATTCTTCATGGAAGGAATCAGTATTAATGTTTCGTACTAACTTGGAGGTACTGCTCCCTGGTGAGCGTCATGGTCCTGGCCTCCTGCTTCCTCACCACCTCACCAAGGACATTCCCATTGTAGTTGATGATGCACTGGAGCCGCGTCTCGTGGTATAGGTCTGAGAGTCGGTGCCTGCAGACCTTGTCCTGCACTCGCTCCGCCCGGCCCTCGTACCCCGGGGCGCACCTGAAGAAGTCCTGCATACATGCATCATGTATCATTTCATCATTTTAAGAACGACCAATGAATACAATAAATTGACCAATGTAGTGCGATGAAGACTTACCTAGTGCTCTTGCTTAATCCGCGCCGCCTTGGTGCCTATGACATTGTCCGTGGCGAGGGCAAAGTGGTCCCACGTCTAGGGCGGCGTAGTCACGTTGCCGTTGGTGCCTGCGACGGTGACCATGCCAGGGTAGTGCTCCCGAACCAGAAGGCTCAGGATGCCATTGATCTAGCGTACCTGGCCGGCTCTGGACACAACTTCCCAGTTGCTGCACGAGTCATTAAGAAGAATTATTAGTCTCCATTTTGATTGTCAACATGTCATATGAACAAGTAGAGAAAACATGAATGGTTACGTACCCGTCGCCCACGGGTTGAATCACCGGGCGCTGGTGAACTGGGATCGGCCTCCGCGGGAGGGTTGACGGCCCGCGCAAGTAGATGGTCGACCCACCAGAGGAAGAGGGACCCCCCTGCTGTCGCCGCCTCCTCGTGGCCAGACGAAGCGGAACCCCCTGCTGTCGTCGCCTGGTCATCCTCGTCCCCCGCGGCGGCCCCCTGGTCGCCCTCGTCCCCGAAGGCCACCACCTGGTCCTCCTCGGGCGACGGGGCGCGAGGCGTAGGCTTCGTCCTCGGACGGCCGTAGGGACGGTCGGTCCTAGTCCTCCTCGTCGACGTCTCTACCGGCGGCTCCTCGTCCTCCTGAGTGGGGGGTGTCGCATAGAGCGAGTGGATCAGCCTCTGCCTTCCCGCAGGCATTTTGTCAAGTGCCTGCAATTACAAAGATGCAAAATGAATTTGTAAGTCCTTATAAAGAGATGCAAAATGAACGAAACATAATTGCAAATTATTATTATTAATAATAATATAGTATTACATGAATTAGAAATAATCTCCCTCATCATCATCTCCCTCGTTGTCATCATCTCCCTCATTGTCATCGGCATCACTATCAATATTGTCGAAAAAATCGGCCTCATCTCCAACGTTGTCATCATTGTCATCGCCTAAACGTAATCGCTCAAGCATTTGTAAGTCGTTGGCATTTTGCACCTCATCTCCATCGTCCTCATCAATGTCATTGTCTACTTCCATGCCCATCAGCGAAGACATGTCTATGTCAAACCTCCCTTCTAGCCCCTCTGGTTGATAGAACTCTCCATCGTATGTGTTTGGGTCAAAGATGCAATCCTCATCGTTCGGGACAGGCACTTTACCGTGCGGCGATACCTTGTGCACAAGGTACCAGCCCATAAGATTGGGGTCTTTTTGGCATGCCCATGGGAGATAATAAACTTGCGTGGCCTGTTGAGCCATAATATAGACATCATCGCCTCGATAGACGGAATCCTGTCGAATTTTGACTTGCCCAAGCTCAGGGGTCGTTCTCGTTACATCAGGATCGAACCAATGGCATTTGAATACGACTAGATTAAGAGGTTTGCGACCCTCAAATCTGAGCACATATATTTCTTCGACTATGCCGTAGGAGTCGTGGTCATCTATGCCAGGCGTACAAACTCTGGTATTCGTGGTTCTTCGGTTTGGGCGACTCTGCTCGTGTCTTGTTGTGTGAAAGCGATATCCATTCACATCATAAACGGTAAATGACTTGACCTTATAGGCGAAGCCATTAGCAACATGTCTCAACTCATCACTCATTTCCGCATCCGTGCTGGCCTGCAAGGTGAGACCGGATAGATCGTTACATTACTCGCTCGTACGAGCAAAGTGGTGAGTCAAAGATAGAACGAGGTAAATTGGATGGTACCTTCTTACTAAACCAAAAAATGAAATCGAGCACACCATCTTTGAGAAGGCTATCTTGTTCTTGAGGTGAAGGAGCCCAATCCTCTTACCAGTATTTATCCAGAAATTCCCTGAAAAAACGAGAGACAAGGGGGTTGGATGGATGGAGGATAGTGACGGCGTATGTAACAAGCTCGTTGAGAACTTACCGCAAATACGGGTTCACTTCGTCAAGGTTCAACAACACATACAGCATGATAGTGCGCCACTCATCATACTGCAAGGTCTTGGTGCTTG